AGGGGGCTCCTAAATCCCAACCTGGGCTCCTAAATCTGAATCTGGGCTTCTAAATCTGAACCTGGGCTCCTGAATCCCAACCTGGACTCCTAAATGTCAATCTGAGCTCTGAAATCTTAGCCCAGGCTACTGAGTTTCAACCTGGGCTCCTAAATCTGAATCCAGGCTCCTGAATCTCAGCCCAGACTCCTAAATCTCAACCTGGGCTCCTAAATCCCAGCCTGGGCTCCTAAATCCTGACCCAAACTCCTAAATCTCACCTTGGGCTCTTGAATCCCAACCCAGGCTCCTGAATCCCAACCCAAGCTCCTGAATCTCAACCTGGGCTCCTGAATCCCCATCTGGGTTCCTGAATCCCAGCCCAGGCTCCTAAATCCCCACCCTGGTTCCTCAATCCCAACCCGGGCTCCTCAATCCCCGCGCGGGTTCCTGAATCCCGGCGCGGGCTCCCTGCCCCGAACGCTGCCCCCCGCGATGTGCGGTGTGGGTGACGCAGTGTCCTCTCTCCCGCAGGTGGGGCAGTGTGTGGTGGTGTTCAGCCAGGCCCCCAGCGGGCGGGCCCCGCTCAGCCCCAGCCTCAACTCGCGGCCGTCGCCCATCAGCGCCACGCCGCCCGCGCTGGTGCCGGAGCCGCGGGAGTACCGCTCGCAGTCCCCGGTGAGGAGCACGGACGAGGCTCCCTGCGTGAACGGCCGCTGGGGCACCCTGCGCCCGCGGGCGCAGCGGCACACGCCGGCGGGGTCGCGGGAGGGCAGCCTGTCCCCGGCCAGGGGGGACAGCTCCCCCGTGCTCAACGGGGACAGCGCGTCCCCCGGCGCCTCCCTGGACAGCCCGGTGCAGGCGCTGTCCCCCGGCACCCCCTCGGCCGCCGAGGGCCTCGAGCTGCGCGTGGGGCCGGGGCCGCGCCGGGGGTCGCTGCCGGAGCACAAGGAGCTGCGGCTGGGCGCGGAGCTGGGCTGGGAGCAGAGGCCCGCGGCGCTGCTGTGCCAGCTGGACGGCGCGGAGGGCAGGACGGCAGGGCACACGCAACCCCCCCGAGCACACCAACGGCCTGCACACCCCCCCGCACGTGCCCGGCTCCCTGCCCGTGTCCCCCGGCGCGCTGCGACGCAGCCTGGAGGCCGTCAAGGCCTTGGCCTCCAAAGCCGCCTCGGCCTCCTCGGCGCTGAGTCCCCCCCCGGCGTCGTCCCCTGGCTCCCCTGGCGCCGAGCCGGGCGCGGCCGCGCGGGCGGGCGCAGCCCAGGGCGACGGGCACTCCCTGCCGCCCATCGCCCGGCGCCTCGGCCACCACCCGCCCCAGTCCCTGAACGTGGGCAAGCCCCTGTACCAGAGCATGAACTGCAAGCCCATGCAGATGTACGTGCTGGACATTAAGGACACCAAGGAGCAGGGCAGGGTCAAGTGGAAAGTGTTCAACAGCAGCTCCGTGGTGGGACCCCCCGAGACCAGCTTACACACGGTGGTGCAGGGCAGGGGGGAGCTCATCATCTTCGGCGGCCTCATGGACAGGAAACAGAACGTCAAATACTACCCCAAAACAAATGCCTTGTACTTTGTGCGAGCGAAGAGATAATGCGGCCCCTGCCCGCCGCCATCCCCGTCCTGCCCCTTCCCGCGGCTCCTCCCGCTCCTTCCCGGCCCTCAGCCCGTCACACAGCGACCAAACTGTGAATTAGGGAGCAGGACACCAATAAAAGTGCAAGCAAAGCCTCCGGCGCTGCCCAGTCAGACCCCAGGGAAGCCAGTGGTGGAAGGACCCCGAGGATTCGGGGGGGGGTGATGGAATTCTGCCATCCAGGACCCCCACGAGGTTGATCTTCCCGGGGTTTGGGAGGCCTCGTCCTCCGGAACCCCTGCAGGGCTCCTCGGGAGCCTCGGGGGCTTTGAGGGAGCCTGGGTTTGTAGGAGCCACCCCAGGCCCGGCAGGCAGGAGGAGGGAGCCGGGTGAGCCCCCTGCCCGGCTCCAGCAGGAGAAGGGCAGCAATATCCCTCTGGGAATGCCGGGGGATCCTGCTCCACACTAACAAGATGCCTTTTTTTTTTTGCCTCACCTGCCGCTCTCGCCCCTGTCCTTGGGCAGGGCCAAAACAAGGAGGAAAGGACAGGAATTCGTGTCAGAATGCCAAAAATACTGATTGTTCCCATCCCTCCTTTCCCTGCCGTGCTGGATCGGGCTTCGGGATCAGCCCTGATCCCGTCTGATCCCCTAAAAACCCACTTATCTCCCCAAAACGGAGACGTTTGGCTGCCAATTCCCCTCTGGACTTCAAGGATTCATTTCACCCGACATCCCAAACCCGTTTCAGGCCAAACCAGCCCCTTGGAGCCTGGGAACAGGGTGGGTTTTCCAGGGAAAAGGATGGATATTGGTGAATTTGAGGACGTGAGCAGCTTCTGCAGCAACTTCACCTCATCTTTGCACGTGCCTCCTTCCACAAGGATTCCATTCAAATCCCAAGGGATTGAACCTGTGCGTCCCTCTGGGACAACCCCCCCTCCTTCCCTTTCCCCTCCGGGGGGTGGGAAAAACAGGTGGATTCTGCCAGGTTTTGGTCAACAACCTCCGGCACCCGGAAAACAGGGACCCCTCCCCGAGCCGGCAGCGCCATGACGTGGTCCCTCCCTCCCGGGATTTTCCTTTCCCTCCATTCCCACTGAGCTTTTTTGCCGGTCGGAGCCTTAAAATCCCATCCCAGCCGTGTGGGGATGGGGAGGGATTTGCTTCACCCTGTTGCCACCTCTGTAAATAAACCCCCGGTCCGACCCGACCTCTCCCGTCCATCCCAAAATGGTTTGTCCCAAGGGAAAAGCAAAAATTGTCCCCATCCCCCCCCAAAAAAAAAACAACAAACAAACCAGAAACCTCAGGAGCACCAAGGGTGAGCTGTGAAATATTTCCTCTGGGAAGGCGCTCGGGGCTTCGGCAGCGATTCCCATCCCCCCACCGCCTCCTTTGCATGTTTTTGGTCATCCATCCCAAAAAAAAAAAAAAAAAGGGATGGACGGAGCGTTGATTCCTTCCCGCGCGGAGCACCCCTGGAGGGGTGTTCTCCCGACAGTTTACATCCCGAAAATCCCGAAAAACCACCGAGCCGGGGGCCGTCCCCGCTCCACCCCCGCCGTGGAAACGCATGTTGTGTGCCCTAAACGAGGAATTCCATCCCGAACTTTGATCCCTGGATCCCCCCGGGAGCCGCTGGTGCTGTGAGCGAGGTGCCCCCCCCGCGACTCAGGTGTGTCCCCCCCTCCCCCGCCGTCATTCCCGAGCGCAGGAACGGGAAGCGATTCCGGCGATATTTAAAACCTTCTGTACATTTTGGGGAGGTTCGTGGGGGTCCCTTCCCCCCCCCCCAATCCCGAGGAATTTTTAGCGGTTTAACAAATAAAAAAAAGAAAAAAGGAAAAGAAGTGGATGGTCGGTGATTTCGGGAAGAGAATTCCCTGCTGCCATTCCTGAAAGTTTTCGGGGAAAAAGGGAGAATGTGTCATCTTTTGGGGTGAAAAGGGGAATATTTGTCCCAGGAGCAATGGGGGGGGGGAGGTGGGGAAGGAGGCAACAGGGTTGGGGGTTCAGGAAAAGGGGGGAGTGCTGGGAATTGGGGATCCCAAAGCTTGTCAGGGATGGAAATTGGGAATGAGGACCCCAAAGCCCCTCGGGGTTGGAAAGTGGGGACCCCAAAGCCTGTTGGAGCTGGGAACTGGGGACCCCAAGGCTTGTTGGGGATGGAAAGTGGGGACGGGAACCCCAAAGCCTGCCAGAGTTGGGAATTGGGGACCCCCTTGGCCCTGTTAGAGGAGGGAATTGGGGATGGGGACCCCAAATCCTGGGAGAACTGGGAACTGGGGGGCCCAAAGCCTGCCAGGGCTGGGAATTGGGAATGGGAACCCTAAAACCTGCTGGGGATGGAAACTGGGGACCCCAAACCCTGCCAGTGGGGGGCATTTGAGATCCCCCAGCATTCCAGGGTCAGCTGGGAGGAGGATTCCAAAGCCTGGGAGAACTGGGAATTGGAAAACTCAAAGCCTGTTGGGGCTGTGATTTGGGAATGGGATCCTAAAGCCTTCCAGTGCTTGGAACTAAACCATGCTGGGGCTAAATTTTGGGAATTGGGGATCCCAAAGCCTGCTGGGGATGGGATTTGGGGATGGGATCCCAAAGCCTGTCAGGGCTGGGATCTGGGGACCCCAAAGCCTGTTGGGATTGGAAACTGGGAATGGGGACCCCAAAGTCTGTTGGATCTGGGAACTGGGGACCCAAAAACCTATCGGGGCTGGGAACTGGGGATCCCAAAGCCTGTTGGGGCTGGAATGTGGGAATGGGGATCCCAAAACCTGCCAGTGTTGGGAACTGGGGACCCCAAAACCTGCCAGGGCTCGGAATTTGGGATCCCAAAGCCTGTGGGGTTTGAGATTTGGGGATCCCCAAGCCTGCTGGGGCCGGAATTTGGGAACGAGGAATCCCAGAGCAGGGTCGGGGTCGCTCCACGTGCCCCTCCAGGCCATCCCCAGCGCATGCGCCGTGACAGAGGGGCGTGGTCTCCATCCAGCCACGCCCATGTGCGTGACGTCACGCGGAAGCGGCGGTGAGCGGCGGGGCCGCGTCTTAAAGGGACCGCGCCGGGAAATTGGGGAGGGGGCGACACGAATTGGGGGGTGCTTGGGGGGCACAGACCCCTTTGGAATGTTGGGGAAGGGCACAGACCTCATTGGGGGGGCAGGGACCCCCTGGGAGGGTGGTGGGACCCCATAGAGGGCTTTGGAGGGGGCTTTAGTGACCCCACGGGCGGGTTTGGGGACCCCAAGGGATTTTTAGGGGCCTCGTGGGAGGATGCTGAGACCCCACGGGGGGTTTTGGGGACCCTACGAGTGGTTTTAGGGACCCCATGGGAGGGTGGTGGGAGCCCAGAGGGGAATTTAGGGACCCCCGGGGGGACGGTTTTAGAGACCCCAAGGGAATTTTAGGGGTCCCGTGGAGGGCTCAGGAACCCCACGGGGAGGGGATTTATGGACCCCATGGGGGGTTTTAGGGACCCCGAGGAAATGTTTAGGAACCCCATGAGGGGTTCAGGGACTCCATGGGGGGTTTCTGGGGACCCCGCTGGAATTTTTAGGGCCCCCCTGGGCTGACCCAGAGCCCCCTGGGGGGGGGGGTCAGAGGGGTGCAGTGAGCCCCGGGGGGTCCCCTCCGTGTCCCGCAGGCGCGGGGGGGTTCCCATGGCAGAGCGGGATTCCCAGGACCCCCAGGATTATTCCCAGGATTCCCAGCTGGAGCGGGGCTGGCTCCTGTCCCCCCCCGGCCGCCCCTACCTGGAGTCGCTCCTGCACAAGAACCGGCGCAGGGTGTTCGGTGAGACCCCCGCCCTGCCCCCAACCCCCCAAAAAAAAAACCCTGTGCCCCCCCAGGGCTGCTGGAGCGGCCGGCGCTGCCCCACCCCCAAAAAACCCCCCCGTGCCCCCCAGGACTGCTGGAGCGGCCAGTCCTGCCGCCCCCCCTGGCCGTGCCCACCCTGCCCTACAAACTCTTCCTGGTGGGAAGGAGCGGAGTCGGGAAAACCGCCCTGGTGGCAGCGCTGGCCGGGACCCCCCGCACCCCACAGACCCCCGCGCACCACGAGACCCTCGGTACGGCCCGGGCTGGGACCCCACGGGGGGGTGGGACCCCACGGGGGGGTTTGGGATCCCACAGGGGCAAACTGGGACCCTGTAGGGGCCTTCAGGGACCCCTAATGGTGGGACCCCACAAGGAGGGTTTCGGGATCCCAGAGGGGTGTCAGGGACCATGTGGGGGTGGTTCATGGCCCCCCCCCCATGGTGGGATCTCATTGAGGGTTCAGGGACCCCATGGGGGGGTTGGGATGCTATGGGGTTGTCAGGGACCCTCTGAAGGGGTTCAGGGACCCCTGATAGTGAGACCCCAAAAGGGGTTCTGGGACCCTACAGGGATATCAGGGACCCTTTGGAGGATTTAGGGACTCTCTGGGGATGTTCAGGGACCCCTGTGTGTGAGACCCCTAAAGGGGTTCAGGAAGCCCACAGAGGGGTCAGGGCAACGCTTCATTACACTGATGGATTGGCAGCTCCCACCGATTTTTAGGGGATTTGGGGGGATATTTTTTGGGGATGTTGGTGTCACCCTTGGCCCCGTGGCCCCGTTTGCACCCCCAGATTTCACCCCACTCCATCCCTGGGCAGGCTGAGAACGGGCAACACTTCATTGCACCGATGGGCTGGCAACTGCCACTGAGTTTGGGGGTTTGGGGGCGATTTTTAGGGGATTTGGAGCGATTTTTTCGGAGGTTTGGGGCGATTTTTTCGGAGGTTTGGGGCAATTTTTTCGGGGGTTTGGGGGCGATTTTTTAGGGGGTTTTGGGGGTGATTTTTTAGGGGATTTGGGGTGATTTTTTAGGCGGTTCTGGGGGGGGTTTGGGGGGTGCCGCAGCTCGTGTGTGCCCCCCCGCGCCCCCCAGCCCCGCGCGTGTCCGCAGGGATCGAGGCCACCACGGTGTTCTGGCCGGCCAAGCCCCGGGGCAGCGCCCGCCCCGTCCTCTTCCAGCTGCACTTCTGGGACTGCGGGGACGGAGCCCTGAGGAGATTCGAGCACCTGCTGCCCGTGAGTGCCTTTTGGGGCGGGGGGGACGCCCTCGGGACCCCTGACGGTGTTTCCCCCCTCCCCAGGCCTGCCAGGAGGCGCTGGACGCCGTCCTGGTGCTGTTCTCCTTCACCGACCGCGCATCCTTCGAGGAGCTGCCGGCGCAGCTGAGCCGCCTGACGGGCCCCGGCGGGACCGGCCTCGTCAGGGTGGTCGTGGGCACCAAGTATCCTTTTGGGGGGGTTGGTTTGCACCCCCAGAGTGCCCCCGGGTGGGATCTCGTGGAGCCGAGAAGGGGCAGCGCCTCCTTACACCGACAGGGTCACGAATCCCACGGGTTTTTAGGGGGGATCTTGGGGGTGTTGGGGTGTCCCCTGACTGTGTCATCCCCTCCCACAGGCACCCCCAGATCTCTCACCCCTGGGCATCTCAGCAGGCTGAGAACGTGCAACACTTCTTGACACTGCTGGGTGGGGTGGGCTCACAGTTCCCACGGAGTTGACGGGATTTGGAGGGATTTTTTTGGGGTGTTGGTGTCTCCCCTGTCTGTGTGTGTGTGAGATTTGCCCCCCAGATCTCTCACCACTCCATCCCTGGGCAGACTGAGAATGGTCAACACTTTGTGACACTGATGGATTGGCAACTCTCACTGATTTCCAGGGGATTTGGGGGAGACATTTTGGGGTGTCGCTGTCACCTGTGATCCCGTGGCCCCGTTTGCACCCCCAGATTTCAGCCCACTCCATCCCTGGGCTGGCTGAGATCGGGCAACACTTCGTTACACGGATGGACTCGTTGGGTTCACGGCATCCCCTGATTTTTAGGGAGTTTTGAGAGGATTTTTGGGGTGACCCCGGCAGGTTTGGCTGCCCCATCTCCCCCCCAGCCCCTCCTGACGTTCCCAGTTCGTCACCCCGAGGGATCCGCAGCTCCCGCCGGCCCCGGGGGGATTTTGGGGTTGTCGCCGTTTCCCTTGACCCTTCGCGTCCCCGCAGATCGGACCTGACCCCGCACGCGGCCGTGACCGAAGGGGACGTGCGGGCCTTCGAGGGCTCGTGGGGGCTGCAGGTGCTGCGGGCGGGGGCGGCGCCGGGGGCGGGCGGGGGCGGGCGGGGCTGGCCCGGGCGGCCCCGATCCTCGATTCCCTGGTGGAGCAGCTCTGGAAAAGGGACCAGATCGCCGCCGGCATCGCCCGGGGCAAAGAGGGGACCCCCCCCAGCTGAACCCCCTGCCGGGGGGCGGCTCTGGGGGGAGGCGGGAGCGGAGAAGGTGCTTTTTGACTAAAATCTACCGTTTTCTATGAAAAAGATCCCAGGGTGCCTAAATTTCCTAAAATTTACAAAAATTCAGGGTATTTGGGGTGCTGGGATGGGGGTGCGGGGGATTTGGGATGCTGGCGGTTTGGGGTGCAGTGGGATCGTGGGGATGTGGGTCCTGCAGGATTTGGGTGGGAGGGCTGCAGGTGCTGGAGGATTTGGGGTGCTGGGGGTGGGGATTTGGGGTGCTGTGGATCCCGTGGGATTTGGGGCTCTGCAGGGTGATGGGCGTTTGGGGTGCTGGGAGATTTTGGGTGCTGTGGTTATGGAGATGTGGGTGCTGGATAATTTGGGGTGCTGGGGAATTTGGGGTGCAGTTGGGATCCTGGAGATGGGGGGACGCAGGATTTGGGATGCTGCAGATCCTGGGGGATTTGGGGTGCTGTGGGTTATGGAGATGTGGGTGCTGGGGGATTTGGGGTGCTGGGGGATTGTGGGGGTGGCAGGGCTGCAGGATTTGTAGTGAGACTGGAGGTGCTCAGGGGATAATGGGGGTGCTGAAGGATTTGGGATGCTGCAGGATTTGGGGTGCTAGTGGTGATGGGATTGGGGTGCTGTGGGATTTGGGGTGATGGGACTGGGGGGATTTGGGGTGCTGAGGGATTTGGGGTGCTGAGGGGTTTGGGGCCCTGGGGCTCGAGGGGGCCGGGCAGCCCCCACAAACCAGTCCCCCCAGTGCCGAACTGGTGGGCGGGGGGCGTGGCCGGTAGTAGCCCCTGGCCCCGCCCCCCTCCCGCCATTGGCTGCCGCCCCCTTCCCACGCCGGTTATGAATGAACGGGGAGGGGGCGGGGGGGCTCCGTAACCCCTTCGCGGCCGGACCCGGGACCCCCACGGCCCTTCCAGGGCCTCTCCCCTCTCCTCGGGGTTCGCTTCCACATCCCGTTCGCTTCCCACGGCCGCGTCTCCACCCCGCGCGCGCGGCCTCCCTAGTGCCGGACTGGGCCGAACTGGGAGCGGCCGCGGCCCCTTTAAGAGCGGGCGTGGCCGGTGACGTCACCGGGGCATGAATGAACAGGAGCGGGCGCGCGCCCCACACACCCCACACACCCCACACCTCGTGGGGTACCCCCGGCACCCCCCACGGTCCCCCCCCACCATGGCCGGGACCCCCCCGACCCTCACCCTCCTCCTCCTCACCGCCCTCGCCCCCCTCCCCCCCGCGGCAGCCGAGGAAGGTGAGTCCCACACCTCTGTTTGGGGGCAGGGACACCCCAAAAACTCATTCTTGGGGTGCTGGGGGGGAATTCGTTGAGGTGGGGCGGTTTGGGGGCAAAACCGCCTGGTTTGGGGGCGCTGAGAGGTTGGGGAGCGCTCCGAAAGTAAAGGAAGAGGGGGTGCCCCCCTTCCCCCAGAATAAACTTGGGGTGCAGGGGGGGGATCAGAGAGTGCGGGAGGGGGGAAAGGGTTAAAATGAGGGGGAAAAGTTAAAATTAGGGGGGGGAAAGTTTAAGTGAAGGGGGAAAAGTTAAACCGAGAGGGGAAAAGTTGAAATAAAAGGGAGGGGAGTTAAAAAGTTGGGGGAGAAGTTAAAAATAGTGGGGGGGAAGCTAAAATGGGGCCAGGGACTAAAATATAGGAGGGGAAACTTTAAATACAGGGGGGGAAAGCTCGAAAAAAGGGAAAACCGAGAGGTTTGGGGGATTTTTCCCATGCCGAGCGTCCGGCTGACGCTCCGGGGCCGGTTCCTGCTGGGAGTCCCCAGAAAAGGCTGACAGAGGGGTGAGGGTGGAGGGGATTAAAAACCAGACCCCCCAAAAAGGGGGGAAATCCCCCTAAAATGGAGCGTTTCCCATGGGCGGTTCAGGGCCGGGCGGGATCCGGCCCGGAGAGCTGGAAAACAATGTCAGGAAAATCCCAAAACTTGCTGGGAAAAAACAAGCAGCGTCTGGGCCTCCACCTCACGACTCTTCCCCCCGTGGTTTCTGGGCTTAGTTTGGGAGATTAGGGGAAAAAAAAAAAAAAAAGAAAAAAATTCACTTTTTTTTATACTTAGATTGGAGTTCTTTAAAATTAAAGTCTCTCTCAGCTCTGCCCGACGGGTCTGATCCGGCGTTTTTCGAGGGAATGGGGGAGGAATCCGGCCCCAAATGCAAATAAATCGGAGGCTGGGGTGGAAAATACCCCCCTAAAAACTAAATATGGCGTGGAAAAAAACCTAAAATGAGGACTTTTGGCAGTGCAGGGGGGTGACCCTGTAGAGGGAACCCCCAACACCCCGAGACGGCTGCAGGATTTGGGGTGTGTTCCCAAAGTGCTGATTCCCAGGAGGGAATGTTGGGATTTGGGGTTTCCAAAGGGCGGGGGAGGGAAGGGAAAGTGCTGGGAGAGTGACAGGATTTGGGGTGAAGGGGGTGTTTGGCTCCCAGTGCTCGGAAAGGGCGAGATCCGGTGGGATTTGGGGTGATCTGAGGGTGGGGAGGGGGTTAAGGAGGAGGGAATGGGAGGGGGATGGAATCCATTTGGGGATTTTGATTGGGATTGTGATTGAGATTGAGGAGGGGACAGGATTGGGAAGGGAGTGGGAAGTGAGAGGGCATGGGATTCATTTTGGGATCGGGATTCAGAACTGGGATGGGATTGAGGTGGGGACAGGAAGGTGAGTGGAGGGGACAGGATTTGGGTTCATTCTGGGTGTGGGGACAGGACTGGGATGGGACGAGGATAGAAAAGGACAGAGTGGAAAACGCAGTTGGATGGGGACAGGGACAGGGACAGGGGATGGAGCTGGGAATGGGGTGGGGATGTGGCTGTGGAGGGGGGGTGAGGAGGAGGATGGGGGGGGTGGCCACGGTCATGGTGGCACTGAAGGTGTTGGTGGTCGTGGTGGTGGCCACGCTGATGAAGATGATGAAGATGAAGGGGGGTGGTGGCCGTGGTGACGATGGCAGTGGAGAATGTGAGGATGGTGAGGATGGTGATGGCAGAGCGGGGGCCACCAGGGCCGGGGTCGCAGCTCCCGCCGGGGCTGTCCCGGGAGCTCCCGGGATGCTGCACCCTTTGACTCAGCAGCCACAGCCCCGGGATCCTCCCTGAGCCCCCCCGCCCGGCCCGGGGGGACCCCACGGGGACCCACAAGGACCTCCCCACCCCAAAACTGGGGGGACCTCACAGAGAACCCCCCGCCCCAAAACCGGGGGAGCCCCACAGAGAACCCACAGGGAACCCACAGGGACACTCCCCTCCCCCGCCCCAACCTCACAGGGACCCTACAGGGAACCCCCCGCCCCAACACGGGGAGGACCCCCCAGAGAACCCCCCGCCCGACACGGATAGACCTCCCAGGGACCCCCCGCCCCAGCACCGGGGGGACCCGGCAGCGGCTCCCGGCGCTTTCCGCCCTCCGGAGGCACGCGGGGGGAATTCCAGGCGCAGGAAAACCGGGATATCCGCCCGGGCATCCTTCCTGACCCCGGGCACGGAGCGGGGGGCTGACAATTCCTCTCTCCCCCCTCCGTTTTAAGCAGCAGATCCCAGTATTCCTTCCTGGGAATCAGCACTTTGGGAACACCCCCCAAATCCCGCAGCCGCCCCGGGGTGTTGGGGGGGTCCCCGCCAAGGGGTAGCCCCCTTTCGTCTTCCCTCCAGCGCTTCCAAAAAACCCGCTTCCCCTCGGTTTAGGGGTTTTTACCCCGTTTTTGGTTTTTTAGGGAGGTGTTTTCCATCCCAGCCTCCGATTTATTTGCATTCGGGGCCGGGCTCTTCCGCCTTTCCCTGAAAAAAACGCCGCATTAAACCCGTCGGGCAGAGTTTGGAGAGACTTTAAATCCTAAAAAAAAAAAAAAAAAAAATCAATGTATGTGAATTTGGGCCTCCCCCCCTTTCCAAACATGTTTTGGGGTGTTCCCCCCCTCGCAGATTTCCCCTCCGGGACAGGTCCGTTCGCAGCAGTGGGAGCCGGGGGGGCACATCCCGACACCGGCCCGGCCCGGTGACCTCGGGCACATTCCTGGGGGGTGATTCACGAGGGGGGGCCCCGCTCGCTGCCGGCCCTCGGCGGCCTCTTCTTCCTCCTCTTCCTCCTCTCCCGGCGCTGGATCCGGACCCCGCCCTGGACGTGCCCCGGCAGGTCCGGGCCCGGCACCGTCTCGGCTCCCCCCGCCTTGGGGGCGGCCCGGGGGGCTCCTCGGGGGCATCCCGTGGGAATCTGCTGGGAATGGGGGAGGATCCGAGGGTCTAAGGGACGTTTGTGTGGTCTGGGAATGTTTGGAGGTTGTGTGGGGGTGTCTGTAGGGATGGGGTGGATCTGGGGGTCCTGGGGACATCTGGGGGTTCTGAGGATATCCATGGATCCCAGGGGCATCTGTGGGGCCCAGGAGTGTTTGCAAGTCCTGGGAATTTCCATGGGTCATGGGGACATCTCTGGGGTCTGGGGACATCCATGGATCCCATGGATCCTAGGGACATCTGTGGATCCCAGGGCACCTGTGGGGATGGGGTGAACCTGTGGATCCTGGGGATATCCATGAATCTTGAGGACACCCATGGATCCTGGTGGCATCTGTGGGTCCCAGGAGTGTTTGCAAGCCCTGAGGACTTCATGGGGACATCTTGTAGGTACTGGGGACATCCATGGATCCCAGGGCACCTGGGGGACATCCGTGGGTCCTGGGGGATGTCCATAAGTCCTGGAAGCATCTGAGAGTCCCAGTGATGTCTGTGGATCCCAGGGTGTACACAGGGGGACATCCATGGGTCCTGAGGGATGGGTGTCAGTGGATCCCAGGATCCATGGGTCCGAGGGGGGTCCTGGTGGCACCTGCAGGTCCTGGTGGCATCTCCTGACGTCCCTCTCCTCTCTCCTGTCCCACAGTGGTGCTGCTGGACTTCGCCAAGGCACACGGGGAGCTGGGCTGGCTCACCCATCCCTACGGAAAAGGGGTGAGCAGCCGGGATCCAGAGCCCCCTCCGGGATGGGGACGGGAATGGGGACCCCCTTGGGAATAGAG